CAGGGCATAAGTGCGAAAAACGATGATATCACTTTAGACACAAGGAAACAAATAATTGAGAGTATCAAGGAAGGACGCGAGATTAAACTTATGTGGGTACCGAGCCACTCAGGAATCAGAGGAAACGAAGAAGCGGACAAACTGGCAAACCAAGGAAGACAGGAAAACTTGCTCCATGAGTACAAGCTATATCATGGGGACATACTGCCAACAATAAAACACACAATATGGGAAAACTGGTGTCACATATATAAGGAAGAAGGCAGAATCAAGGGCAAAAAGTATGTAAATTTCAACCCAGAACCAATCAAAACACCATGGTTCAGACACATAAAAGCACCTAGAGGAGCAATAACGACCATCATCAGATTGAGATCACAACATTGCCTAACACCAGAACACTTATACAAAATAGGCATTAAAGACAACCCACTTTGTACAACGTGCGGAAAATATGGAGATCTCAACCACATATTTTTAGGCTGCCCAAACAGAACACAACAAAACACAGAATTATACAACAACCTGGCCCAACTCTCACAAACACCCATAGATATTAGCACGCTACTGGAAAAACCTCTTTCAACATCAGTTAAACTCCTTATAAAATACGTATCAGAAAACGGACTGAAGCTTTAACCCCGCTTTAAACATACCTACCCAATATTCCTCAAGCTTAGCATGGCATGAAAATATTCATATAGAAACACAATAATCGTTGACCTACCACAAATATCTTTTGTTAACAGAAATCATCTATTCCTCTACCCATCCTGGCATACCCTGGTGTAAACCCATGTGTAAAGCTCTGGACACACCACAGAGCGAGAAGAGTCTTATTACCTTTGTAAACCCCCCATCCTACTCATGAAGGGCATGGACAAGGTTTCCAGACGCACAGAAGTGTGCACCTTTCAGGGAAGATTGCAATAAGCAAAGAAACCATAACTGGCTGTATGTCCTTTGACAAGAGGCCACAAAACTAGAAGAAGAAGAAGAAGATACTCAAATAGTCGCAAAATATACAGGGTGTTCGGTTCACCGACGTATATCTGGAAAGAGGCGGTGGATAATGTGATTTTGAAAATATTTAAATATACCTACAGGATCATTCACTTAACAAATTCATGATATGGTTATATACAGGGTGTCCCAGAACAACATATGTTAAATTCAACAGGGTGAACTAGAGTTCAAAATAGGTCGATTGGGACCAAGTTACCTCTATACGAAAATGCACCGTTGGGCCGTGAGAGGGCAATGAATGGATTTTTTTTTTCAGATTTTATTGAATATTTCAAAATCCTTGAGAGGTAATGATCTGAAATTCGGAAGGCAGTCAACTATGAGAAGTGTGCATAGATACCAGGTCTCATCAGTGCAATCGATATACAGGGAGATACAAATTTAGCATTCTGATTGGAGAAAATCCATAGAACTTTTTTTGAGTACGCCACTGACCATATTTTAATATCTACTTGAATAACAAAATCAATTATCTATCTTTTTTCTTACCACATTTCTTTCCAAATTTTGCTTGGTTTACGAGATATCTGAAAAAATTCTTTCGGAGTCCCTCCATATCATCCATAGTCCAAGATATCAGAGTTATTGTGTTCTTCAGGTTTCTTCCTCCTTCATGTTGATATTTTGGTCACGTATTCATGTTTATTATTTAATATCCTTTTCATCATACAGGATGGCCCATTTTCAACTTGACAGGGAGATTTTGGGTGATAATAGCGTAGATACGAAAAAATGCTCAGATCGGTCGATTTCAGTTTGCACCTCCTGCTAACAATCAAAGTCGTTTGCAGATTTTTTTCGTTCTGTTGACAGTTCGGGGGCACATATATCATATCATATCAACTACTTTTTCTGCTCAATCATTGCTTAGTAAGAAACCCATCAAGCGGTTCGTACAAAAAATGTACGAAAACAAAGAATATCAATTGTCTAGTTTCATTATTATCATTATTTTCATCCCATATGTCACTGTCAGCCTAATCATTGTAGTTGATTGTTCAATGGGCGTGTATACCTTAGTAGAACTTTTAACTCAAACCATGTTTATAATGATCCTTTTATACATAAATAATGATTGACGACATAATTCGATCCAATGATTAACTGGAATTTTTTATTTTTAGACATAAGTAATAGTACCTTCTAAAAACGGACCCTCTCTTATGACGTAGAAACACTATAGAAACCTCATCTCGCCATAGTTAAAAGAAAATACCAAACGCCCGACGGAGACTGTGATCTCGCGATAATTCACTCTGTCAGAAATCATGTATATCATTCATCTCTGTCTGGAATAGTCTTGTTTCAGTATTAGGGTTTTGACGTCACATCATCACCTCGTTTTCAGAGGTCCGAAAAATCGGGGATTTCAATCATTTTTTATAAAACGTAGGGAGCTCACAGCAAGAAACGGTTTGCGGTGGTGAGCTAGTTTGGGGAGTTCTATCGAATTATGAAATACAAATTTTTTTGTGATATAAGCCCATTCTCCATGTGAACTGTGAAAAAATATCAACTAATAAAGGCTGATCAAGACCACCAACATTATTCTAACAACGAAATGGCAGACATGCATCTCATTCTGGGGAAGTGCGATGGGAATTCAGCAAAAGCTGTTCGAATGTATGCTGGGAGATATCCACAAAGACGAACACCTAATTCCAGGACCTTTATTACCATTAATCGGAGGATGAGAGAGACTGGGACTTCGGTGGTGAGGAGACGAGGATCTGGAGGCAGCGATTTGTCCGAACTGTAGAGCAAGAAGACCAAATCACAGAATACTAAATAATCAAATACAAGAAATCATACGTGAACTGTCACTGTCAAAAGTGTGAACTTTCGTTGTGGACACTCTTTTTGACCAATCAAAACGATTTCAGCTATAGCGGTCAATATACGATAATCGATAATTTAAGTTCCTTGATCAGTTCATGAGGTTTAAATATTTCAAAACATTTTGATGAATACTGTATTTTTCGATATTTATTGATTGATTTATCTGTATTGCAAATTCGACCTTACCCTTAATTATACAGAGGTATAATATGCAATATATCTAACTGAATGATTTTGATATACATGCCATTTTAATAAAACTCAAATTCTGATGAAATCACCATATATCATAATGTACATGAGAAATGAGAAAACAAGAACAAATGAGTTTCCAATACTGTTTTGTTCAGTTCATCCATGGCATTGTTGAAATCAGTTGAATATCTACTACTCATCTATGCAGCGCAGCTGTCCTCAAAGCGGGACCAACTTCGGTCTCTATCGTTACCACCGGGGGGCATTTGAAGCTACTTGCTCTTATTTTGTCATTGGACACTATATACTCATGATGTACTTCGATGGCACATTTTTATATAGACAATTCAACAGGAAATATGATTTTTATGGCGAGTTTTTCATATTTAGTGGACAAGCAATCCAGATGACGACCATTTAATCAATAGTCAATCAAAATACGAGATGTCAAATGTCAATAGATTGCTTTCGAATGACATTACACACGCCATTATTTTGAATGATATTCTTCCTTCTTTTCACTAAATATGGATTAATCTCAAAAAAATCATATTTATAGTTGAATTATATACAAATTGTCCAATATGATGAAAAAAGAAGGGAAATTTGTTCTAAATGCCATCCTGAAGACAGGTGAAAAACAAGGTGAAATTTGGAACTTTTCAGTCAAATATCTTCATGATAAATATCATGATAAATGCAGCATTACCTTTTTTTAGTAGAGTGTTTGTAGTTCATGTTAATATGATAGTTGCAATTTGATCATTGGAATGAATTCTGCATTCATTGCCACGAGGCAAATGACCGTTTTCAGAAAGAAATTTGAGAATGAGAATCAAAAATGCCCGTTTATTATGAACATTCAAGAAAATTTCCTCGAATTCAGAGATGATTTTGTTGACTATAATATACGAATACAAAACTAACTGCACAATCTAAGCTTTTCTATTTTTCCTCTATTCATACTTTTTATGAGAGAGTAATTGTCTTCTATTATTAATTCATCATTATAAATTAAGCTCTGTTTACTACTGAACTTAGATACTTTTAGATGGACTAAATCCTCGCGGTGAATTGCATATACCCACATTTTCGATAGCTCCTCGTCCAACGGAAAACTAAAAGCATGAACTTTTGAACCACCCACATAATTCCCCCGACAAAAGGGAACACAACACTTGAAAGGCATTGTTATTTCGCCGATCACAACACAAAATATTTCACAAAACAGTAATTTTTCCGCCAATTATTTTGATGAATAAACAACAAAAGAATTCGGGACCGTTTCAGAAACATACGTGAATCACCGATGAATTAACACGAACTGACGCGTTAGTCGACAAGCGATAAAATAAAACACTGGCCTCACTTGGCGACGTCACGAGCTGTTTACGTCAGAGTCTGCTGGCCTTGTTGTATCGGTGGTAACGTCTCTATAGGTAACGAAATCGACCAATAGGCGTTAATGCCGACCAAATATGTATTTTTTCTATATATGGCTCATCGCCTATACGATATGTCAACAAAAATGGGACCAAAATGAAAGGTACTTTTTGAATCTATAAGGACGGAAAGTGAAGGATGGAAACAGCAATATTGGTTTGACAAGTTTCGTATTATTTTTTCCCTACGTCGGGAATTTATTCGGGAAATAAGTAGAAACAAAATTATGAAAATAATTTAGTGTCCTTTTTTTCTCGTCGTGATTATCGATGAACGGCATGGTAGTGTTTTCTAAAAAGTAGTGTTTTCATCTAGTATACTTGGTACACGTCTTGATTGAAACATTCAATGGATCATTAATACTAACATGACTGCATTTTTGATCTTTGCAGGTAGAAGCGTCATGGCTGATTTTTTTGGGAACTGATCCCTACATGAGTAGATCGAAACTATAAAATAAGTACCTACATATACATCATACGAGTAGGAAATTTGCGATGCAGAATTCAAGCGAAAAGTTGCACACTGACGAAAAAACAATCGAATGTTATATTTGCCACCAGAAATATTGGACAAATGAGGATTTAGAACTACACATCAAACTACACACTCGCGAACAGAGCTTCGAGTGTGACATTTGCCAAAAAAAGTTTAGACAAAAAGGAGGTTTAAATAATCATCTTAATGTGCACACCGGCGAAAAACCTCACGAATGTGGTATTTGCCACACAAAATTTCGTCAAAAAGCGGATTTGAAAAGACACCTTATGGTCCACACTGGCGAAAAACCCTTCAAGTGCGACATTTGCCATGTTACGTTTAGGCAAATTGGAGTTTTGAACAAACACCTCCAAGTGCACACTGGCGAAAAACCCTTCGAGTGTGACATTTGCCTCAATAAGTTTAAGTATTGGAGATCTTTGAAGAGACACCTCAATCTGCACACTGGTGAAAAAATTTTCGAGTGCGACATTTGCCATAAGGAGTTTAGGCGAAGAGAGAGTTTGAATGAACACCTCAAGTTGCATAATGAGGAAAAACGTTTTCTGTGCGACATTTGCCATAAAAAGTTTGTGAACAAATCAGCCATGAAGAGACACCTCAAGGTGCACACTGCCAAAAAAGCATTTGAATGTGAGATTTGCCAAAAGAAGTTTAGGAAAACAAGAGGTTTGAACAGACACTTCAGTCGGCACATTGGTGAAAAATATGTCCAGTGCGACATTTGCCATAAGAAATTTAGTCAAAGAGAGAGTTTTATTGAACACCTCAAGGTGCACACTAGCGAAAAACCCTTCGAGTGCGACATTTGCCATGAGAAATTTAGAGAAAAAGATATTATGAATGAACACCGTATGGTGCAGCACGATAGTGTGAAAGCCTTGAAGTGTGAAACGAATGAATACCTAGAGGAATACATTTGCGAAATACCACCTGAAAGTTATACTTGTGATGATGAAAAGTTCTCGACAAAATGCCGTCTGATTGGACACACCAACAATGTAAAACCATCCGAATGTGAGTTTGATGAACATGTTGGTGATTCTTTTCCATCAGAAGAAGACTATTCAAAAACCAATATCACTGAAGATAAGTGCAAGATCGAAATAGAGTACAACGAACTTCCATTGGACGGTGAAGAAGATCTCGTTGAAATAAAGAAAGAAGACATCCTCATTGGATACTGAGGTGAAAAGTGCGTATGCTATAATCATCGGGCTGATAGTGCATCCAAAAACAAAGTTATAAATTTTTATCAACTCATTTCCGAGAATGGGTATCCCTTTGTAGGAGAAGATGATGAATATTATTTTCACGAAGTGTGATAAGTTACAATAAATTTGAAATGAATTTCAACTGATGTATAGAGGGTGTTTCATAGTTGTGGTGACAAACGCAAACAAAATCTAATATATAAAATTCTCCTGTCCCGGTCACGGTGTTAGTGGTTGAACTCCTCCGAAACGCCTCGACCGATTCATGTGAATTTTTTGGTGCGTATGAGAAATCGGTCGTAATCTATTTTTTTAATCGATAATTCAAGATGGCGGATCCAATATGGCGGACGAGTATTGTTATTCGATTTCAAGATTTCGGAGATTATGATTCTTTCGTGAAATTTTGGAAATTCAAGATGGCGGATCCAATATGGAGGACGAGTTTCGTAATTATGGTCAGATTTCATTTAAAATTGGTATCTGGGGGTTTTCGAGGTCGAAGATTATGATTTCTTCATCAAAATTAGGAAATTGAAAATGGCGGATCCAATATGGCGGACGAGTTTTGTAATTATGGTCAGATTCCATTCAAAATTGGCATCTGGGGGTTTTCGGTGTCGGAGATTGTAATTCTTTCGTCAAAATTTTGAAATTTAAGATACCGGATCCAATAAATGGTAGAAGACTTTTGTAATTATGGTCAGATTCTATAAAAATTGGTAACTGGGGGATTTCGAGGTCGGAGATTATGATTTTTTCGGCAAAATTAGAAAATTCAAAATGGCGGATCTAATATGACAGACCAGTTTTTAATTATGATCAGATTCTATTCATGCAGAATTAATATCTGGGGGTTTCCAGACTCGGAGATAATGATCATTCTTTCATCAAAATTTGGAAATCCAAGATGGGAGATCCAATATGGCAGGCAAGTTTTGTAATTATGATGCGATTCCATCCAAAATTTGGAAATTCAAGATAGCGAATCCAATATGGCGGACGGGTTTTGTAATTATGTTCCAATTCTATTCGAAATTAGTATATAGATGTTTTCGTGGTAGGAGATTATGATTCTTCGTCAAAATTGAGAAATTTAAGATGGCGAAACCGATAACGCGAACAAGTTTTGTTATTATGATCCAATAATTCTATTCAAAATTGGTATCTGGGATTTTCGGGGTCGGAAATCATGATTCCATCGTCAAAATTAGGAAATTGAATATAGCGGATCCAATATGGAGGACGAGTTTTGTAATTATCATACGATTCTATTCAAAATTTGTATCTGAGGGTTTTCGAGGTCGGAGATTATGATCTTTTTCTTCAAAATTGGGTAATTCAAGATGGCTGATCCAATATGGCTAACTAGCTTCGTAATAAATATCAGCTTGAAAAACTATAATAAAACACGCTTTACTAGATAGCCAAACTCGAGGCCAAACTGAAAAGGAGTAGAAAATTGATAGTATAGTTTGGAAAACTGAAGAGATAGATTGTCGAACTAAAAAGAAGTAGAAAATAAATAGTAGTTTGAAAAACTAAAGGAACGCGATTTTATGGATAGTCAAACTAGGAAGAAGTTGAAAACAAAGTAAAGATGTGTGTTGATGAATTTTTAACTGAGAAAATATTTTCTAGAAATAAATGTATATAGCAAAACAACGTTTGTCGGGCAATAAATAGTAATTTGAAAAACTAATGAAACACACTTTTATGGATAGCCAAACTGAAAAAAAGTAGAAAATAAAATAAAAGATTGTTGATGAATATTTGACTAAAAAAATATTTTCTAGAAATAGTGTGTATGGCAAAACAATAACGTTTGCCGGGTCAGCTAGTATTGAATAAAGTTCATTTGAACATGGGTCAATATCTTGAGAACGCTTAAGCCATTTACTGGATCATTTAGATTTGATCCAGGATTTCCAGGGGCGTACCTATCGAGAAAAACGGACAGAACCATACCTCGGCATATTTCTGAACGCCATGAGAAAACATAAATATGCTCAGACATTATCGAAAAATTTATTGATGCACATTATTATTTATGAAAACAAAGAAGACATAAAAATTCAATACCCTCTCTAGAATGTATACGATTTTCAAGTTTTGTGAGAAATATATTTGTCGTCGACCTCTACAAAAATCACATTTTACGTTCTAATTTCCGAACGAAAAACTGGCTATTTCCGAAGGCAAGTACTGTTCGTCCGCAGACACTAACCTTTCGTCCGCAAATACTTTTCGTTTGCTGCAGGGTTGCCAGTTCTACTGAATTTTCATCAGTAGATCTGATTTGCATATTGATCTACTGAAACATTCCATAACACACCGAAAAGTATTTTGACATTTATTTATTATTAAATTGCATGATATTTCGGCACGCTCTGTTTAAATTAATTTTACAAAATAATTAATGAATTTACATTAATAGTTACTATATAATGATATGTATAAACCAAAAAAGGATAATACTTAATATGATTCAGATCCAATTCAATTTTTCATATACCCCTGTTATAATATAGGTAGTTTGATTCTTACGTAATATTTTTATTTGTCTTGTATTTTTGTTTTTTCTTTCCTGCTTCTAATATAGGTACTCAAATTTTATAAGAATTAGAAATATGATAATTTTTGTTTCTGCCTATTTTGTTGGAAATAGGATACTTTTATATGAAGCATAGCTGTACTCAAAGCGGGACCAACGTCTGCCTCTATAGGTAACGAAATCGACCAATAGGCGTTGATGCCGACTTAGGGAAAAAATAATACGACAATATGGCCACTAATTTTAAATTTTCCATCCTTCACTTTCTGTCCTTATAGGTTCATAAAGGACCTCTCATGGCGAGTTCACATGCCAGCTTATGCATACAGCAGAAAGCTTGAATAAAACATGCGCACTGTTTACATGAAAAACTTGAAAGTGACAGTGACTGCCACATATTTGGTTAAATTTCAGATGTACGTCCTCCAGAAACCACATTCATCACATTTTTAGGAGTGTTTTTCCAGTACTGTTTCCCACACTGCATAATATGATGATATAGCACCAATATGTATTCATTTTGTCAATATTTGTGTGGTTCTGTCAAACGATCTGAGCTATTTTCCGCAAAAGTCGGACTGAAACCGACTTTCTAGCTTATGACCTCGATAAGCGCTTTCTGACGAATCGGCCAATGAGATGAGGATACGCTGTAAGTCAAAAGGCGAAAAGCCAGCATGTGAACGCGCCATCATTTTGGTCCCATTTTTGTTGAGATATCATATAGGCCATGCGCCATATATAGAAATAGTACATATATGAAGGGACCCTAGCGGTGGGCTTTCTGCAAGGTCAAACATCCTTGGGCTTTCTGCTCGCTTCCAAGGTTGGTAGAACTGATGATTATTTTGTCGTCTGAGGTTGCTCGCTTCGCTCACTAGCGACTTCCACAGAACTCAAGGTCTTGAGTTCTGTGGCGACTTCTCGCGGTTTTTTCCTAACTTTTTGCGACATTTCATGTTCCGGAGCTGGCAACACTGATCACCATATTCTTGTAAAATGTAAACAAAAACCTCACATAATATTGTAGCATTTTGCATTCTTGCAGTTCAATAATATTTATATTTTATAGTGATAGTGACAATGAAAATGAACTTTGCTGAAGCTGCAGGGAGCAGTTGAAGTTCGTAGATTCCACGTAGAATCATAGATAACAAATATCAACCATCAGCTAGTGAAGAATAGAAAGTGGTTTGACTGTGTTTGAGGGTAAATTACAACAGATATTTGTGTTTGAGGTGAGAACCAAATACATTCCTACCTACCTGATCTCTAAATTACATATATTATTATTATATTATCATATATACATGACAAATTTCATAAAATCATGAGCACATCTCCCCTGTGAAATAAAATAGTTATTTTTGTATCTAGAGCGCGAAATGCTACTTTGGTGATCGAGATCTGATTTCTTTAACGAGGCGTAGCCGAGTTTAAAAAATTAGTCGAGATGACCAAAGTATTTCGCGCTCGAGTTGCAAACAAATTTTTTTTTCTGTGACGGGAAAAAAGTTTGGTATTTCATCCCTGTTGGCGGGTTATAAAATGTCACTTTTCATAAATTACTTTTTTCCCGTGGGAAAAAAGTGAGTACCTACTTTTTTCCCGGATATATATTACATATATATACACAGTGTTGATGGCTTTTGTTGTGCTATAGTTCAGAAAAATGATTGAATAATACCGTCTCCGAGAAAGAACTGCAAGTCCTTTTATCCTCCATTCGACTTCGCGGTTACGAATATTACTAAACAATCACAAAATTCCCAATTTTTTGAAATCAAATTACAGAATTAGACTGACAGAAATGACATCAGATATTTGATTACTTCAAATGAATGATAAAGATGCCTACTTAAAAACTTAAAATTTCACGTCGATAATTTTCAGATTTCAAAATAATGTAATATCTTCTCAATATTGATTCGTCCTTTCTTCTGTCACAGAAAAAAATAGTGTATTATACACGGGAAAAATATCAGATTTTAGCTCACGGTTTGTTGTCTCCCTCCGCTACGCGTCGGGAGACAACACAACCTGGAGCTAAAATCTTCTACTTTTTTCCCTTGTATAATAAATAACTATTTCTACAAATGTCAAAAAATATAGTTCTAAAGTGAAAATATGCTTAGCTTGATATAAAAAATAGTGTTGAACTGGCTTAAAAGGTCTCCCCCTATCCTCCCTAGGTACGCACGATGTTCCACGAACATAATAGGAATTTCCTTTCGTGCGCTCCAAGAGAAGAAACAAAGCTATTGTTGAATATTCAGAAATAAATGATTTTGTGGATGTCTGCTCGATTGAGGACCATGAAGTTGAAATATAAATATCTCATATATTTTACATAACAATGCGCGAAGTAGGTACTTCGCGCACTGTTTTACTTCGCGCATTGTTTTGTGCAAGGAATCAT